AGTACAATTTTATCATATGTTTTGCAAATTCATTTCCCTAATTGTAATAATATTTTAAACCGTTTGATTTTTGTATTAAAGTTTTTTTAATTGATTGATGATTGATTCAATCAACTAATTTGTTGATTGTATTAACTTGATTCTTTAGATATTGAAAATTAAATAAAGAACATTATGTTAATTTAAGCGTACAGAAACGTTGCTGTTGTTCCAGCAAAGATCTTATTTTAACTTTACCGAGTGCCTAGTAGGTAATTTGAGAAATGGAATAATTTTAACAGCTTTAACGGATCACCCTAGTTAATCTGCAGATTAGCTAGGTAATGTACACATTAACGGATTTCGAGCTTTAGCAGTAACATATACACAAAGGAAAGTAGAGGAATTTTGCAATCATCTGACAGTCAAATTTGACTATCTCCATGTTTTGAGGTCTCCTGAACCCAAAGTGAATTGACATGATGACGATATGAAATTTTGCATGGTAGCTTGTATATAAGGGGCATTAATGCTATTAAATTTTGGTGGTTAAGGTTGGGGTGAAGAGATGATCTCTTTTATTGTCATTGTCATCCATTAATATTTTTATCATAACTTTTAAAGTAAAAAAAACTTTTAAATCAAACTTTTGGTTGATTGTTTGGTCAAGTACAGAGATACCACTGTATTTGATTTTGATATTATATGTAATAGCATCAAAGAATACCACCTGTATATTTTTCCAAAATAGATTACTTGAATGGATGAGATTTATCTTACTGAAATGAAACAAAAAAAAACAAAAAAATCATTATTTGAGAAAGTTATAAAATATTCTTAGAGATCTTGCAAGATCTTTCTAGTTCCAGACTATAAACTGGTATACACATTCATATATGATTGCTGAGTAAAAATTAACTCTCTCAACATGGTGATGGTTGGTTGACTTAGTTTTGCATCTTTTTGATTTTATTTTTAACATTAGAAATTTAAATATCTGGATCAGTACTGAACTTTGATCTAAAGTAAATATTTTCTCAATGGATCTGTAATTAACTATTGTCTCAATGTGCCATTGCTTCCATAACTTCTATAGATTAAAAAATTGCTGCACTATTTTTGATTTTTATTTAAAGAAAATACTATAGTGTAAAATATCCAGAATGCAAAAAATGAGTAAAAACTGAGCTTGAAACAAAGAATAAAAACTGAAAATTTCTAATCAAATAATGAGACAATTTACTGAAAATCACTAAATAGAAAAAAGGTTTCCTGTTACAAGAGTGGACTGAAAAGTTTTCATCACTAGAGGATGTTTTATTTGGAAATATTTTTCCCATGTTGCATTAGCCATGCATGCATTGACTCCAAATTTCACATCAATCTGGCTAATAGTTTTTTACAAGCATTGAAGTGAGATACCCTGTGAGCCTGTTCGTATATGGAGAAAAATAAATTCTAGTTATCAAATTTTTCCATTTGGAGGAAAAACAACAGAAATCAAATTGGATTGGACAAGATTCTTGATGGTTCATCACCATGGTAAGTTTGTGTGTGTAGCCATGCTTGAATTCCAAAACCCAAAAAGTGATGAACCATATTCAGGACATCAAAAAATTGTTTCGGCCACGTTTCTTTATATAGAAAGAGTGCAGAAAAAATGACGTCATGAGCAGTTATTGCTGCACATTTCTAAATATGGATACCGTAATCTATTCTTCACTAATTCCAGTTACAGCTGAAAGTATTTTAATTAAAGAACTACAATATAACAAATGATATATAAAGAATTGAGCATTTCTTTCCAAAAGTGTGAACAAAGTAGAGAGACAGAAGATATAGTATTTTCCTAATTATCTATTCTTTAGATGACTTTCAGAGTCATTTTAGAAATTTAATCCTCAAATATTTTTATCAGCAGTCACTTTGACTTTATTTTTACAGAATTTCTCATATACATACAAGTGTTAATTTGCATTGCATATGTAGTGGATGAAAAAGCTGCTTTGCTGTGTAGCAATCAAGAAGTGCTGCATAAAGAAATGTGACCTACCACTCCAGAAATTGGATAAAATCCATGACAGAAGATTGCCAAATCAAACACCCTAAATATGAAATTAAGGAAGATGTGGGCATCGTCTCAGAATGAGTGTTATGCAAAAACTTAACTAAAGATATAATTGAAGTAACAAATACATGCCAGAAATTTAGCAACAGTGGTAGCAAGAACATTCCAAATCACTAGTTAATAGTTATATAGCGAACAGTTGCATTTAAAATTGAAACAAAGTATTTTTTAACATTATTAAAAACTTTCCAAAACTTAAATGTATAGAATATGGTTTGTTGTATACAATATATATGATAGAAATTTAAAAAATTTTTGCAATTTTAAAATAAATACAAAGGTTTTTAGTTTTCAATGGTAATTAATATGACAGTTTATTGCCATGTCAATTGTTAAGATAAAACAGATGATACTTTTTTACATCTCTTTCTTAGCTAGTTTTAATTTTATTTCTTCCCACAGATACTCAATGGAATCTAGATCCAAACCAAAGTGATAGTGAAAGAATATGTGAAATCTCAATGTTATCTTGGAAGTATACTTCAGATTTTATTCTTACAATATGACAACCCTGTCTAGTCCTAATTTAATGGCTTTAGTAAAAGGATTTTCACACATTACTGATGAGACCATGAGAAAATAATAATACTTAAACATCAGCTTTTCAATTCCTTTGCTGCTCATACACCTTCACATCATTACCGAATCACTTCCATGTTTTACAGTTGGTCTAATACACATTTTATTTTATTAAAGGTTTTTCACTCTTCTCTAACTGCACTTTGTAAAAATAATAAAATGGCTGCATATTAAAAGGTTTTGTTTGAGGTTTGGAGAAAAACAGAACTGTTTGAATACAATAGTGTTACTTTCATCAGACTAAACATGATTCCAAAATATAACTGGACTCAAGATACTTTTTAATTCACACCAGTTGTTTCTTCTCATTTTGTTTCCTTATCCATGGTTTCTTCCAAGCAACTCTAATCATTTCTCAATATCTTTTTGATCACACTCTCCCGTGCTGAATTTTTTCTTCCTTTCTTCCACTTTCTACTTTCCTAGGGGATTTAAACATATTAACAATATTTTTGACAAGACTTGATGTTTCAAGATCATCACCAATTTTACCCAAGTGTGTGCCATGCTCAAATTATCTAATGTCATTAAACAATTCATTTTTTTGGAGTTATGTCAAACAAAAACTTAAAATTGTAAATTACCTTTTAACAATTTTAAACCTTCTGATATTTATGCAAATAATTGCATTTTCTTCTTTTTTACAAAAGCACAGTACCAATTTCTTCATTTTTATCCTAATAATTTTCAATGGTATGGTATTTTATTTTGCAAGTTTTAAGATTAAATATATTGTATGTATATATGAATAAACAATTTACACAAACAAATGCATAGATTTTATATATACCAAACAGAGATGGAATGACAGTTGGTCATTGAGGACATTAAGTTTAGTTCACACTGATGGGTTATTTGCTCTGTTTTTCACTTTCGCTAGTGAATGACGAAGTGTGAATACTGAATAGTTTACTGAATAGCATAAAAAATGCTATACAAAAATGATGTTTATAATCATCCCTTCTATGATTTTAAGACATAACCAATACTTTTTATACTTCATTTCCCCGGTAACTGATTGTAAAGGTGCATACCATAGTCATTGTGTAATGCTTCAGAGGCCTTAATTAACTATCCACAGCTGGCTTGGTTATAGAAAATATGAAAAAAAAATTTTATTATACAGCACTTGAGAAAACATCAGTTTCTTTAATTTTGATGTCTTCATGGCTATTTAAAACTTTTAATGTAACTTTTATGAATTTTTATCTTATCTTTATTGAAACACCAACTGAAGAGTGACTTTTTCAGAGTCCGAAATGCATTTTGGGTGTATTNAAATTTCTTTATTTCTTTGTACTTAAACATAAAATAAATTTAAGAAATTTTTTGTTCATATTCACTAGTGTGATAAGTCCTAAAATATAAATAACTGGTTAGGTTATTAGAAACATAAGTTGTATTTATTTTAAATAAAAATAATGTTGTATATTTACAAACCATATTTTCAGAAAGTTTTGAACAGTACTTTTTTGTTACATCTATTGAAATCAATATATGTAATGTGCCAATAAGTATTTTTGTTGTCTATACATGGTCTTGTTATGGTATATGGCAAATATACACCCACAACTGCCATAAATGAGCAAGCTAAATTTGGATATAATGACTATAAATTAGAAATGAATTTGGCACTAGAGTGAGGCATTTAGTCCGATCATTTATGGCAGTTGTGGGTGTATAATTGCTTAATATCAGGTTTCGATTGATGTATATATTTGTATGGTATATGGCATTTTTAATTTTTTTCTTTTTTGCACTAATTATTTGAAGCTATGATCTTCAAATAATTAAAGAGCATGCCATGAAAATTTTGGTTAAAGTTAACAGAATTGGCAAGTCACAAAATTACAACAACCATGATTACAATAAGCAGATTCTACTGTACTAAAAATATCCATGAATGAAAGCTGCAATGATAAAAATTTTACCTTTAAAGTGATATTTTTAAGTATTGTATCTTCAAGAACAGCTTGTAATTTATTATTAATTTCCAAAGACAATTCCAAACTCATATGAGAATCAGCAACATGTGATCTATATACAGAAGCCATTACACCACCTTTTTTAGCTACAACAGCCTGAAATATGTAAATAATTTTTCAAACATGAAATTGATAACAAATTATAAAATATTTTATTGAAAATTAATACATTTATAATTTATCAATTAAAAAATTACCTTGGTCCATTTTCCTTTGGACAGCTTTATCAGAGAAAAAAAGTTTATTTTAAAAATATATAAGATAATAAGGTTGTTTAAACTAAGGCTAACATAGTTTTCAAGTAATATAAATAGGCCTACACATGTATGTATAAACTTCATTGGAAATAAATCAGAGGTGATACAATTCAATTCTAATAAGTTTCCAACTAAACTGATCTGATCTGATCTATCCACGTCACATTGGTAATAAATGAAAACCTAAAAGTTCATTGGTTTATATTTGAATTTGTTCACTAACATTTTACTCTCTAAAGCAGTGGTTCTTAACCTTTTTATACTCGCGACCCATCAAATATTTCATAATTTTTTTGTGAACCCCATTTTTTTAAATAATAATTTATATTTGTTAAATTATCTATAATAAATTGATTTTTTTATTATTGCTTTATTTTTAAAATTCCAAGCATTAATAGTTTCTTAGAATTACTTTGGAATAAAAGAAGTAAATACTGTGGTGTAAGTAGCATATTTGCATTTATTTCTTCTGTAGTAACAAAGTTGTATGTAAGAAGAAATAAATAAAGTTTTCGTAATTTAGTTCTTTTATCTTTCTTATTTCACTTTTCAATATGATATTCGGTTATACATCAATTTTCTTTTTATTATATTCTGAAGGAAATTTTGCAAGATTTGGCTGCCCCTGGCAAACTTCTTACGGACCCCCAGTTAAGAAACACTGCTCTAAAGAGATAAAAGATTACATTTTAATTTATGGATACCTTTTACATTTAGATCCTAGACAATTATAATCATCGATTTATTGTTTAAGGTATTTTAATCTGCTGTTTCCACAGCAGCATTTTGAGAACCTTAGCAAAAAAAAATGTCCATTTTTGAGTTGAATGGGACTTTTCGTCAGGACCTCAAACCAAAACACATTTCATTTTCAGTCAATTTCACCTAATTTCCATAAGAAAGGTATGAGGGGTTCTTTATAACAGTTAGAAAAATAGCCAGATCTGGCAACATTTCTCATCCATCACTATGCAGTATCCCTACCATGTTGGTGCCCTCAAAAGACAATGTCAACTATACACAACATGACCATAGATGGCAAATAACATGTGAAGAGGATACTGTCAACCATGGGTTAGTTTTACAGCACAATATATCCACTTTGAATGCCTGCCATGCAAAACAATGTAAAGGATGTATATCAGAAAAAAGATACTTTGTTTTGACTTTTGACTAAGATCATCTCTATTTGCTAATCAGAAACTACACCAGTATAATAAGTCCTGTTAAATTAATAAACAAGGTCCACGTAGACAGAATATACACAGAAATTTGAATCCAATGTATTGGTTACTAGCAGACCCCACCACACATTGTGGCTCAAAATGTATCTATTATAAATGTATAACACTTCCCCATGGGGGGGAATTTTTCCGAAAAATCCCTTAGTGTACATTTTCTTGACGTACCCTATTAAAAAGCAATCAAAAACGCAAAAACCCGCATCTAAAATAATATAATAGAAGACAAGTTCTTCACAGTAAGCCTTAATTCTGTCCCTCTCCTCCGCGGGGGAATATCGAAAAATCCCTTCTTAGTGTGCATTCTGTTGATGTACCCCATTAAAACGCAAAAAACCGCATCTAAAATAGTATAAATAGAAGCAGAGTTCTTTACGGTAAGCCTTAATCCTAACCATCTCCCTTCAGTGGGGGGAATTTTGACATGTATATTATATAAAAACACATGCGTATTGGAATGCAGTGTTGTGTCGAAATTTCAAAGGAATCGGTAGGAACAAACGAACATTACATTTTTATTTATATAGATAGATAGATGATGATCTGCTTTAGTTCATTTTCACAGAAAAGCAAACTTAGGTCGTCTTACTCGTAGCGCCATCTGTTGGACATAAAAGCCTTAACCTAGATTATATATTTTAATTTATATGAATGTTTAACGGAATAATATACAGTCTATGTCCACCCTGAGGTTCCATTCTAAATATTGGTGAAAGAATTTTTGAAATCGGATGAGTAGTTT